TTCAGCAAGGCTGAGCCCAAGGAGGGAGCACAGCAGCAGCACCTCTGCTCCTCAGTGGGATAAAGAGCTCTCCTGAGGGAGACCAGGCTGTGGAGTGCAGAAATCTGGGATAGCACAAATAACAGGTCCACTTCAAAAGGGAGAGAAAAAAAAACCCATAAAAAAAAATCAAACCAAACCAAACCCAAAAAAACCAAAAAACCCAAAACACCCCAACCCCAAAAAACAACAAACCACAAAAAAAACCAAAAACCAAACAAGCAAAAAAACCCCCAAGAAAACAACCAAAAAACCACCAAAAACCAGACCAAAAAAACCCCCCAAAAAACCCTAAACACCCAAAAAAACCCCAACCCCAAAAACCAACAAACGACAAAAAAAACCCCAAACCCAAAAAACCAAACCCACAAAAAACCCCCCCCAAAAAACCCCAAAAACAAACCACAAAAAATCCCAAAAGCCAAAAAAAACCCCAAAACAAAATACCCAAAAAAACCCAAAAAAGAAACCAAAACAAAATAACAAAAAACCCAAAAAACCAAAAAAACCCCAAAACCAACCAACCAAACAACTCCAGAAAACAACAACAACAAAAAAAAACACACAAAAAAAATCACAAAAAAGAAACCAAAACAAAATAACAACAAAACCAACAAACAAACAAAAAAAACCAACAACAAAAACAAACAAAAAACCAAACCACAAACCACAAAAAGCCCCCCAGGAATTAAAAAGGTGCTTGCAGTAACCATCCAAGGAAAATTCTCCAATTTTACCCCATCCTGCCCCTGCAGGCTCTTTCCCAGCCAGGTTCCCCCTGCCCTGAAGGCAGCAGTGAAGCTCCAGGCCCTGCAGCTGGAATGGTTATTGTGAATTGGCATTCATCAATAGGCTCCTGATTGGCCATTTTCTTCCCATTTGTGCCTGCAGTGACTGGGAAACATCCAGCTGTTTGTTCCATTTCTTACAGAACATTTCTGAACCATTTTCCCCTCTTGTGCTGCTGTGCCTGGGTTGTGCTGTGGGCGCACAAGGAGCTTTCCCTGGGATGCTGCAGGATCAATTCCTGTGTTTTTGTTGGATTATGCCCTTTTTTGACCCAGAAATGGGGTACCTGAGAGGTGGTTTAAAAGCTTTGATTCCATTTTCAGTCTTGTGTGAAGTGTGAGGCAATACAGATGTTATAATTCACACCTTCAGAATCAAAACCAAATTATTCCCTAATTATAAGTGTTTCTTGGCCTGTCAGCTTTTGCTGAACTCTCAGACTTGGGGGATTCTCTACAAATCCAAATCTCAGCTCCTGGTGGATGGTTCTGCCCCACAGCCAAGGCTCTCTCATCCCTCATGTCCCTACATAAATATATTTGCTGTGACAGTTCTGAGTGGTTCCCTCAACCCTCCCATGGCACCAAATCCTCTCCCAGCACGAAGTCAGGCATGATTTTATTCCTGGCCAAGGTTTCTGTGTGTGGCTGACAAAATTCCACACGGATGCTGCTACACAGCTTCCCCACTTACTTATACATTTTCAGCAAGAAAGAAGAAATCCGTGTTCATTGGTTCTAAATGACATCATTCTCCTTCATTAATTAGCATTCTCTCTTCTATTGGTCATTATTTCTCACTCCCCATGCCAATTAGTCTGCATATTTAGTACCTTTTTCCTCCAAATGTAGTTTTCCTTTCCAAGACGTAGTGAGTCTTTTTTAGCATCTTCTTTACCTTCTGCTTTCTGCAAAGCGTCCTTGTGGTCCATAAATTCTGCATTCCAGGTGTCTACACCAATCCATCTTCCTCTCCCAGCCTTTGGTCACTGGAGCACATCAGAGTTAGTTTATAAACAAGTTCAAGTTTCAGCCATTTTCCCCTGCTGTCATCCCACTAAAGCAGCTTGTGGCAACTTTGCTGAGAGTAATCTCAGATTAACACACAATTTATCATTAATATAGGATTAATTAAAACAACATTTTTTCTCCTCCATTCCTGGGGATCAGGGGATTCTCCTGCTCAGTTCCTGTGCCTCTGCAGCTCACAGAGCCAGGGTGCCACCATGAGCATGGATGTGGAACCGCCTAGACACGTTTTGGTGGCAGTGAAATCAGTCATTTCCCCAAGTGCCAAGCCAAACAAAACCCCCTGCCATGCTGCAGAAAAGGTTTATTTGTGGGAATGTATCTCGGACAAACTGCATTTCTTTCTGTGTTTTGTCTCTAGAGGAGAAAAATGAAGCTGTTTGCCACTGTCACTGCCACCTCCCAACAAGCCCAGCTCCTTATAATGCAGAGAAAAGCCCTTTCCCTCCTGTAAAAACAACATATTTAAATGTGGGGACAGCCCTTCCTCACCTCATTTTGGTTTCCTTGCCTTCAGGACCAGAGAGCAGAATCCAAGAGAAAGTTTAGTTGGTGTGCTGTTCTTCCCAAAAGATCTGCTCCACCCTCCACAGGTGCAACTGCTGTTATTGGTGGCAGCTAAATATCCTGAATAAAACAGCCCCAACTCGCCCACAACTGAATAAAACTGCTGGTTTATTTTACCTTTAACAACAGCTCTTCCTCTGTTCTTTTACACAGGAGACAGGCAAAGAAGAGTAATTTAAAAATCTCTTCATTAGCAGCTGCTCGTTTCCTCCTGTCTCCTGATGGTTAGAGGGGGGAGAGAATTGGATTTTCTCATCTTTTCAAGTAACTTTCTTTTAATCTCCTTTTCCTGGAAATAATTCAGCTAATAGTGTGATATTGCAGTGACCTTAAAGAGAGCTGATGCTCTCCCTCTGCCGGAGTTTTTAATTTCGTACTGGAGATCTGAAGGGCGTTTTTGGTGAATCTTTTTTTAGGAACCTGTGGCAGGGGACAGAGCAGATTCTGTGTGAGTGCATTTCCACCCCGGCTCTGTTCCACATCCCTCTGCGCCCTCCAGCACCGAGCCCATTCCCATCCTCAGCACCCCGAGACAACCAGGGAGCCCCTGGGCTCCCCAACGCCCCTTGAGGAGTGAATTAGAGGGGTTCCCTCTCTGCTGAGAGGAAAGAAGCCGAACCCACCCCTGGAATTGCTTTCCCTGATGGAATGAGGCACAAAGCCCCCGGAGGGGTGGCAGGGACGGTTCTGCAGCGCCGGCAGAGCGGGGATGCTGCTGCCCACTGCCTGGCAGTCATCCCCTGTTCGTGNTATATATATAAATATATATTATATAAAATATATAAAATATAGATATATTTATATATATAAACAAAACCAAAACCCCTTTAGATTTATGGCAAGAAGGTGAAACTGCCCATTAAGGAGTTCTTGTCTTTGTTTTTTGCTTTCCTGCAAAATGCCAGGTGAAGATAATTGTGAAAACCAGAACAACAGAAACCACAGGTAAAAAAATCTAAGGAAAAAAACCCCAATCAGACAGGGAACAATAGATCCTTTTTACAAATTCTTATCGCTATGAACGCATGCATGAAATATTGAGTCTAATCTGTGAATATGCCCCAGCATGGGAAATAAAAACCCAGGCACAAATCAGGATATTTGTGGGGCCAAATTGAGCCCCATGTGTTAAGAGAAAACCTAATTTGTTACACAGTAAAAGAACAATTCAGGCTATAAGTAGTTGGATATTGCAACCCAAGCCTGCTGCTGTTCATCTGAACTTGCTTTTTCCCTTGCCATTTATAAGTATTCAGAAGCAGAAAGCAAATGCACAGGTGCTGAATGTGCAAAGGGATAAAAGCCCCATTTCCAGGGAATATTTTGTGCTGCCCAGGTGAGTTTGTGCGTGTAAAACCATGGCTAGGATGGGAGGCAAAGTCAGAAACACTTTTCAAATCTTTCCATGTTCGGTTTGTCTTTCATGTCCAGTGACTTACCCAACATCTGCAGCTGGCTGCTGCCCATAAAAACATGGAAAACATGGAAAATGGGAAGGCAGGGGTTCTCTCCTGCTGTTTCTGGCCCTTGGAGCCCTCATCTGTCCTTTTGGGTTTCTGCAGGTGTCTGGGTCCAGGACTTCAGGAAATTCGAGTGGGGAAATTTCTTGGATAAGCAGATTCCTGGAATCACAGAAAGATTCAGGTCAGAAGGAGCCCCTGAAAATCCTCTCACCCACCCCATGCTGGGGGTATATATACTAAATATAGTATAGTTTTTATTCTATAAAATATGTATATAAATATAGTAAAATATTTTCTATATATTTATACGCACAGTGTATATTTTAGGTGTAATTGGGTTTTTGCTGCTTTGCCTGCTGCAGTCACTGCTGGGCACAGGACTTCAGGGAAACCGAGTGGGGAAATGTCTTGGATAACCAGATTCCTGGAATCACAGAATAATTTAGGTCAGAAGGAAGCCCTGAACATCATCATCTCATCCACCCCATGCTTGAAAATCACTGGGAACCCAGCCCAGGTCCATCCCCAGCATCCAAATGTCCCCAGGGTTTCCCAGGGGATGAAATGCTGCTCCCCCAATTCGGGTATGAAGGAGAGCCTAGAAATGCACAGCATTTCCCTGCTGGAATGCATTTGGCAGGGTCAAAAAAATGGAATTATCACTGCAGCCCCCTGGTTGCCAGTGAAGCAGCAAAGGCAAAGCTCGCAGCCCAGCAGAACAAACAAACACAAACAAATAAAGCTTCAGCAGGTAAACACCAACGGGGCACAAACAGCAGGGCTGCTTCCTCCCTGGGACTGATGCTCTTCTCATTCACAGGACACGGAAAATAATTAGCTGAGCAAATATCATTTAACCATGTTATTGATTAATTTACAAAAGCATTATTAAGCTTCCACAGAAATTCATGGTCAGATTGTGTCTGCATCAGGGATTCAGTGTTGTGCCTTCTTGGAAGGATTAAATTTAAGTGCCTTATCTTGCTCAAAACCGTTTTTGGAAGGGAATGTGGGGAAACCTTATTTGATGTTCTGAATTGCATCTGCTTGTTTATAATTAAAACCCAGGGAAGGGGCAAGGCAGCAACCTCATTAATTGTTCTCTGCATTCAGACATGTCATTTCATCAAGGGGAAATATCAAAATGCCTGAGAGCATATAATCACAGCTCACTGCCAGCCACAGGATCCTACTGGTGTGGTGGAAAACAAATAGGGATAATTTCACCTTCCCTTTTTTCCCCCATTCCCAGTGTGTAAAGGAATTTATACCCCTGAAGCCAGTTTCCAACTTTTCTGTGAGTTTTCCTGCTTGGAGCTCTGCCCTCCTCTCCAGAGAGGGTGAGAGCTGCAGGCACTTTTATTCTGTGTATTTGGACCTAAAATGTCCTAAAAATATGGGTCTGAAACCCTTTCCAGGCTTGGAACAGGGACACAGCTCCAAAACGGGATTTCTGTAGAGGCCAAAGAGCTCCAGAGGCTCAGCTGTCCGTGGCTCAGAGGGAGCTGAACCCTCAGATGGATATTGCCTAAACTGATTTGGTTGAGAGTTTCCCATCTCTGCACAAACCCATCATTTGTGGCTCCAGCCCTGGAGGTTACACCACCACCACCACCACCACCACCAGGTTACCTTTCATTTTCTCTTCCCACAGGTCCCCAGGCTCCTGTGGGCAGCATTCCTGCCATTCCTGCTGCCCACGCTGGCTGACAGCACTTCCACCTGTTCTCTCCATTCAAGATAAAACCACTGGTTTGGTTTTACCCAAGGGCTGGGCTCCAGCCTCCCTCAGGGACTGCGCTGAGATTGCACAGCTGGGAGTGGGATATAAAATTAAAAATTAAAATAATAAATAAAAAATGGGAATAAAATTAAAAAATTTAAAAATAAATTATAAAAATAGATTTATGACACAGGTGTCATTACCCCACAATTCCCCCTCTGCAGGAAAGCAGGGCCAGGGAATTGTTGTTATTCCAAACCAGCCAGGCCAGGCTCCTTTCCATGGTGGCTCTGCAGCACTGTCCTCGCTCAGTGACAACTTCTGAGCAGCTCCAAGGACAAAATCCAAAGGGAGAGGCTGGAGAGGGATGGGGAGGATGAGGGATGTGGGGAGGAAAACAGAGCCCTCAACTTCCAACCCCCTCCCCTGCAGTGTCCCACATAATCCTTATCTAAATATTTTGTTCTGAGGCTCTGTTGCCTCTTATCTTGCTACACCGTGGTTTTGTATTTGATCTTTATCTTCCTCTGTTTAGCTTGTACCAGCCTCTGGCCTTTCCACATTTAAGGATTTTCTGTCTGCAGAAATTGCTCATTAGGAGTAGGGCAGGATAAAAAAGTGTTTCTGTGGATAAATTATCACATAGGATCCAACATTATTTGTAGGAAAAATGAAAGCTAAGGCCATTTGAGCATGAATTCCTTTTCCTAAAGGTTTAAGGAAAACCAAATAATTTCTTTTTTGATGGAGGCAGCGCAGTGCAATGGCACCAGCTCACCCCAGAGCAGCTCTGGGGGAACGTTCACTCCATCATTTCACCACCAACCACAGGGCCAACAGCAGCTCCAGGGCTGCCAAATTATCCCCCCTCACAAAAGCAGCTGTGCAGGAACGTCATCATTACACATCCCCAACAAGCCTCTTCTTCTGGGAGGCTGTTACCAATTCCCACGTCAGACTGCTGCTGAATATCAATCCCCATTATCCCAAAACACCACAGAATGCACAGCCAATCACCAATTCCTCAGAAAGGTCATCAGGATTTCAGCACCTACAGGAAAAATGGACAGAGGCTCTTGGCAGGGGTTTGGAGCAGCAGGACACAGGGAATGGCTGCAAAAGGAGAGAGAGGGGGTTTGGATGGGATTTTGGGAAGGAATTCCCTGGCACAGGGTGCCCAGAGCAGCTGTGGCTGCCCCTGGATCCCTGGCAGTGCCCAGGGCCAGGCTGGAGCTCCCTGGGACAGAGGCTGGAGCACAGGATGATGTTCTCCTGCATTCCAGAATGCTCTCCTGCATCCCAGGATGTTCTCCTGCATCCCAGGATGTTCTCCTGCACCCCAGGATGTTCTCCTGCACCCCAGGATGTTCTCCTGCATCCCAAGGATGTTCTG